CAGCAAGCAGAAACAATTGGGTTCTTTTATATCAAAACAGCAAAACACCAAAAGGGAGATGAGAGAGCCACAGGTGAGCCTTCCCGACTCCTGGAACTACAACTATGTGTCTTGCACCAAGTGGAAAATAAACGACAAGCAGCCAAAAAATAAAAAAAGGCAAAAAAAAAGGCAGGCAATCTAAAAGTAAACAGTTCTTCTAATATATGAGTATAGGGGCCAACAGAGCCTGCCAGACTGTAGACACACAGTCCTTAAGGTATAAAGCATAAAATCAAGGCCCACTATTATATGCTGCCTAGAAAACCAGTAGGGCCCCCAATGGCTTAACTGCAAATTCCCTTCTCCACCAACAGGGTGAGTAGGAGACCATTAAAATGGTCCCTCTTGCTAACTGGTTTCATCCGTACTCTTAAAATAAATTATCGTCTATGTACAAATGCAAATTTTCACCCAAGCTGTTCTTACATCTTTTGGTTGAGATTCCAAAATAGGAAGCTGTTTTGCCCTGGCCTGTGTGGCTCAGTTGGTTGGAGTGTTGTCCCATACTCCAAAAGGTTGCAGGTTTGATTCCTGGTCAGGGCACATACATACCTTGCAGCTTCAATCCCTGGTTGGGCAGGTACGGGAGGCAATGGATCAATGTTCTCTCTCTCCCTTCCCCTCTCTAAAAAAAAAAAATAAGGACTGTTTTTACTGTTTCTGCTCCCAGGCATGAAACCCTAATAGCTAACATGGAACGTGTATTATGTTCTAGGTACTAAATCATCACAACACTAAAAATGTCAGTACTATTTTTATTCCCTTTTTACAGGTGAAGAAATGAAGCTTAGAGAGGTTAAGGAACTTACCCAATGTTTTTACTTTGCTAAATTAACATTTGTTAAGTGGATGGTGAGCCAAAGTTCAACAACAGACCACAAGAGTAAATGAAATCGTTTATTTCTCACAGTTCTGGAAGGAAGTACACAGCATGCCTGGAGGGTCCACATGGGGAGGTCAAGACAGAGTGCAGACAGAGAGGACTGGACCTGGGGCACATGCCTTTATTAAGGTCTGTGGGTGGAGTGCTTTGGGGTTCCCAGGCTAGGAACAGATCAGTCCATTTAAACCAAAGGAGTGAGGTTTTGCTAAGCCCCAGGGGTTCTTATCTAAGGGGCCCATTCAGCACACAGGTGCTAGGAGGCAGGGGAGACTGCTGATCACAAGGGCTGCCGGGGAAGTCATATTAGGAACTTACATTTGCTTGTGACTCTTCTCGCTGCTATCTAGGGCATGTGCTTGCATGAGGGAGACTGTATCAATTGAAGGTCCCTACAAGCCACCTGGCAGAAGAAAACGGATGGTGAAGCAGCAATACCATGAAATAGCTTAGCTAGACTCTCCACATCCAAGGTATCACAGGTATTAAGTGGCAAAGCGGGGCTTCAAACTCAGGCAGTCATAATCTTTCGACAATCCTCCTCACCATGCTTTATTACCTCTCACTGCTGGAAGAAAAACCATCAAGACATGTCCCAACTGTTGTAATTTCAACCTACCCCTCAATGCCTGGAACGTTTTAAAATTTCTCATTTTTTAACACAGTCAAGGCACTTCATATGCTAGCAGGTACATTCAACAAACATTAGAAATAATACTTACACAGCAATAATTGTAACTCTTTCCTTCTCCTTTTTTTAAAAAAATATTTTTATTGATTTCAGAGAGGAAGGGAGAGGGAGAGAGAGACAGAAACATCAATGATGAGAGTCATTGATCGGCTGCCTCCTGCACGCAGACAGGGAATCCAACCATGACCTCCTGGTTGATAGGTTGACGCTCAACAACTGAGACATGCCGGCCAGGCTCCTTCTACTTAAACTATTTTTCCACTCCAATACTCACTTTCATTAGAGGAAAACTGATCTCACCCTCCCCTCATTCCTCCAGGTCAAGATAGAGACCACTTAACAAGACCTTTCTCAAGGTAGCTTCCCCTGCAGTTTAGCACATCACTTTCCCCCCCTTCACTAATCCTGCCTTGGAGGAAGGTTTTTCTACTTTCCAGTGTCAACCCTTAACTTCATTCAATTCTTCCCAACTCCCTACAAAGAATTTCCACTTACACATCCTGTTATCCTCTCCAACCGATCGATATGCACTCAACAAGCAATGGTTGAGCTCTAAGTGATAAACACAGCGAATTCTGTGATGAATAACTCACGGAACTCCTCCTTTCCACTAGGTATAGTGGAAGATAAAAACTTGTTCGCAAATAACACAAAGCAAATGCTATACATAGGGCTGTGAGCCCTGGCCATGTCCGCTACAAGACCACAGGTGAAAGGGGATGTAGGGGGATCAGGGCACTGTCTGACGGCGCCCGAGGATGAGTGAGAATTAAGGGAGGAAAAGGCCGAATAAGGGGCTGTTGTGGATAGACAAGACAAAAATGAAAATGGGCACAAGGAAGGTAGAAGGAAGCGAAACGCAAACCGTCAAAAACGGAGAGATGAAGAGGACTCGGGAGGTAGGTGCGCTCCTCAGATCAAAGGCGCGCCGTTGTCACCCACTCCTTTCAGTCTTTGTTCAGGAGGCTGGGAAAAGGCAGGTCGCTCCCGCAACGACCGCATTGTCAGCCGAGGAGGCAAAAGCGAAGGAGCTGCGGCGGCACCGAGACCCGCTTTCGAGAAGGATACCTTAGGAGGTCCGGTTTCTGGAACCTTGGCCGAGGCCACTCAGCTGATGCCCGCCGTCATTGGGCTCCGCTGAGAGCTAGATGGCCCCGCAGGGAAGGCGTGGCCTCGCTGCGCTCGGGGCTCTCAGACGAGCTGCAGCGCTTCCCCCAGAGCCTGAGGCCCGCCCTCTGCTCCCCAAGAGCCGCGCACGCCAGACACCGGGGCCACTGTTGTTGCGAAAACTGGTGCCACCCTCCAGAGCCTGGGAACCCGCCTGACTCCAGAACCCGCCGCTGCGCAGCCTCCCAAAGCCCAGGAAACCGTGGAAACCTTCCGGTACGTTTGCGAAACCCTTCCCTAGGCCTACGTGGCCGGCTGCCGACGGGAAAGGGTGGTCACGTAAACGAGCCGCCGTCACCACCGGTTCCCGGCATCCTTCGGTTCCCAACGGGGCCCGCCAGGTCCAAACTGGACCGGAGACCATGTGTTTCTCAGTCTTGTACTTGAAATCACAGCAGGGAAGGATGGCAGACCACACGATATATTTCACAGAGTGGCCCTGTCAACAATAGAGTCAATTCTGCTGGTGTTTCAGGTACTTTCCGTGCGTGCGTGTGTGTTACATATTCTATACTATTGGGTGCTTACTGTGTTTCATATATGTATATATGTATGTATAAATAATAGATGCATCAATAATATGTATAAATAAAATATGTGTGTACAAATATAGAATAAGGGTGGGGGAAAGTAGGTTTACAGTTGTTTGTATCTAAAGTAATACAATAATTAATAATGATACAAGAATAAATGTTTCATGTACTCACAACTGTAAACCTACTTTTGCCCCACCCTGTACATAGGGACAGCTCAAATCGAATTAGGTAGTTATAGACAGATTTTCAACTGCCTGGGAGGTCAGTACCCCTAATCCCCCCCCACACACACATTGTTCAAGGGTCAACTGTACATATTTTTAAAGTCTATCTTGAATTAAAAGAAAAATCTAAATGGGATAAGGAAAAAGGCACAAAGTATTCAAAGTATTTTCTAAGCAGCTGAAGTGTTTGTGTCAGATTTAGCAAAAGGAAATAATACAGTAGGCCTACTTACATTTGAATATCAGATACACAATGAATAATGTTTTAGTGCAAGTATGTCCCATGAAATAATAATGCAACATGATACTTGCATGGCTCTTTCCCTTAATTCATTCTGTTCTCTGCTCATTCATCATCTTTTCAGAGAAGCAGTCCCTGACACTATCTGCAATAGCACCCTCATCTCTTTACACTATTTTTCTTCAAAACACTCATTACTATCTGATGTTATATATTTAGGTAATATATACACATGTTTATTGTATGTCTCTCCCTTTAGAATCTAAGTTTCATAAAGACTGAGACTTCATTTTGATGATGACTGTATCCACAGTGCCTAGGATATTGCCTAGCAGGGAGTAGGTACTAAATGATATGTATTTAATGAACAAATGAATGGATTTTAATTTTGTCAGTGTTCATAGTAGTTTCATTCTGTCACATATTCATAATCAGCCTTGCTGTTTTGGGCTTAGTCCTCCATTTAAATAGATGGGCTCACTGCAAAATGTCCATTCTTAATTCTTTATTTTGACTCATTTCTTATTTGATTTCATATTGTCAAGTAATTTTTTTATAAGGGACTCATGGGTATTATAGTTCCTCATTTTTTTTCTTCATATTTGAAATATGAAACCTGTTGCTTTTTTGGGTAGATTGTATTATTGTTAGCAATTATCTACTTCTTTCCCAGAAGGGTTATAGATCCCTATCCAATTGACTTTGAAAACTTAAGAAGAAAAGGAAAATTAACAATATTAAACAAGTCACTTAGAGAAAGAGTTGTTGGGATTAAGCAGAAAAGTAGATAGTGATAAAAACACACACACATATATTTCGTATTTATTGGGTTCTAGACATTCATTCAACATTAAGTAACCATGTCTGTCTACCATTTATTGGGTCAAAGACAGGCTTCACAAATAAAATAGTGCTTGAGTTGTATCTTTCCAGAAGACCAGGCACTTGCGAAACAAAAGGAAAGGTAAAGTGTGGGTACAAAAGGAATGGTTAGTCCTGGATGCTTTTGCTCAGTGGTTAGAGCTTTGGCCCTTGGACTGAAGGGTCCCAGGTTGGATTCTGGTCAAGGACAGGTACCTCGGTTGCAGGCTGGATCCCTGGCCCCAGTAGGGGCATGTGTTGGAGGCAACCAATTGATGTCTCTCTCTCACATTGCTGTTTCTCTCTCCTCTCTCGGTCTCTCCCTTTCACTTTCTCTGAAAAGCAATGAAAAAAATATCCTTGGGTGAGGATTTAAAAAAAAAGTAATGGTTATTCCAGGCTCAGGCTTCAGGTGCAGACATGGAAACATATCATATTTTGGAAACTATAAGCCGTTTGACACTATATGTAGTTAATATATTTACTCCTCAAAACAACTCTATGGGAAAGTATTATTATCCCTATTTTACAAATAAAGAATCAGGCCCAAGGTTATATAGCTATTAAGTGGCAGTATCAGATCCCAATCCACTAACATCTGCTTCTCAAGTCTTTGTTTTTTCCACTATACCTTACTGTGGTTCCTTTTTTTTCCCTGTCAGGTGGGTAATGTTCCAGTGTCATAACAAGGTTTGAGGGAGGCACATCTCACACAAGAGCGTGAACACCCAATCATCATGCTTATGAACTATGAAAGGATTGTGGTTTGTATAGTGACCTTACTAAAACTGTGAAGCTAAGTATAACTCAGAGGAAGGGCTCTAGGGCTGAATCAATGTCATTATTTTCTGTTATCATCATTAATTAATACATATTATGCACCCACAAGATTCTTGGCATTTTACCATAGCAGAGGACAGTTGCTGTCTTCAAAGAATTCATAATCAAATTCAAACAAGGCAAGCAAACACTGACACGTGGTTATAAAACCGAACTGACTCCATTATTCGCCAATCAAAAACCTTTCTAGAATGTGAAACAATTGATACCTTCAAATCCATTTGACACAGGTTCTTCTCTTTAAAATCTATTGAGTTTGAAGTAGGGTTAAGCCTGTAGATGAAAGGAAAGTGAAAGGTGAGATAACTTGAGAAACAGAAAATTAATGAATCTTTCTTTCTTTCTCTCTTTCTTTCTCTCTTTCTTTCTCTCTTTCTTTCTCTCTTTCT